TGCCCGTCCCTGAGCCTTCCCCACCCATCCTCGCATGAAGCCGGACCTGCCTCCTCCTCCCCGAGCAGCCCCGGCCGGCAGCAGGGGGACGGTGTGGGCTGTCTCCTCCATGGCTCCTTTCATATCTGCTCCCCAAACGCTCCCACAGCTCAGCTGGTACCCAAAATCACTCCCAACACACAGAGGGAAACTGAGGCACCACCCTGAACCTTGCCAGGCTAGCAGAGGAAGCAGAATTGTGGGGCCATTCCCCTGTGGCATGTGCTGTCCCTGTCCTCCAGAGATGTCCCCATCACCATGAGGACTGCTCCATCTGCTTCCTGAACCCTTCCCCTGGCTCTCAGGGTCTCCCAGGCTTTGTGGGGCTCCTACAGGACAGGGGAGGCCAGCAGAGACCCCAGGGCAAGGCAGAGCAGGTTTGGCTTTGCTCCTTGCTTGGTGCCACCACAAAGAGGCAACCCACCCATCTGAAGGGGGGTCAGGATGCAGCAGGCACCATCACCCTACTCCTGAGGCAGAGCTTTGGGGACCCAGCTGGACACAGGGGGCTCTCCAGCCCCCAAGTCCCGTCCAGCTCGCAGGCACGCAGCTGAGGAACGTTTCACCCCGTGCACTGGCCCCAGCTGAGGTCATGTTTTCGGCAGGGCTGAGCTTCAGAGAGGGGCCGCAGGGCCCAGGGGAGCCTGCACCACCCACCCGGCCCTGCAGCAGCCTCCTGGCTCTGAGTGGTGCCAGCACAGCACGAGCAGCTCGGGTTTGGCTCAGTTTTGGCGTGGGATGGGGCTGGACACAGCTTTGGTGCTGTGGGACGTGGAGCAGCCTGGGGACAGAGGCAGCGTGGACAATGCCCTGTGCCAGCAGGGACAGAGAGCAGTGCCACTGTCCCTACCACATCTCCATCCCTCCAGCCAGGCTCTGAACAAGGCAGATCTTCCTTTTCTTCTCCACTTACAGCCCTTTGAACCCCCAGGAGTGGTTGGGAATGGGAGAGGTGGGTTTACCCCTGGTGCCATCCGCAGGCACAGGAGCCCTGCAGCACCTCTGGACAGTGTGAGAAGGGACAGTGCTGGGGGGAAGCACACAGCCAGCAGCCCCTGACCACCCTGTTCCCAGTGTGCAGCTGGCCCTGGGCTGCTCCTGGCCCTGTCCTGGCTGCTGTGACCCAGGCTGGCTCGGAGCATTGCCCATGTAAGGGCAGAGGGCTGGGGAGCCAAAGTTCCGAGCGGCATGGCCGTGAGCGAGTGGGTGGTGATGCACTCGCTCACTCACACGCTCCAGGATGCGAGAGCAGCTCGCAGAGGCCAGCCAGGGATTTTCCTCGGCTGCCAGTGGGGTTGCACAACCGCAGGCTCTGCCAGGGAAGGGGTCAGACCTCGCTGCTGCATCTGTAAGGGAGCAGCCAGGATCCTGATAGGAAGGCAGGAGGAGGCTGGTGGCCAGGAGGGAAGTGGATCCCAGAGCCAAAGGGTGCTCAGGGTCCTGTTGAGGCTGCCCTGCTGCCAGGAGAACCATGCTGGGGGCTCTGTCCTGCCTGTGGCTGAAGCAACTTGCCTGTGCTGATACCACAGTGCTGCTTCTCAAGCAAAGCTGGGAGCAAAATTCCACTCCCAGTCCCACAGCCAGGGTGATGCTGTCTCCCTGAACCCCACGGACACCCCAGGGTGTGAGTGACCCCCAGCAGCACCCACGGAGTGAGTGGGATGGGGATCAGGCCTGGCAGCTCTGCAGCACCCAAAGGGAGACAGAGGAACCGCTGGGCCAGGGCTGGGGGCGGCTGCAGGCACTGGAGAGGGGACAAAGGAGCTCTTTGGAGCACACTGAATGGTGGCTTCACATCTGACCTTTCCTCTGGGCACTGCTGCCACGCTGGGTCAGGCCTGCAGCAGGATTTCAGCACAAGGTTCAGACCCAAACATTCTCCCCCTCAATCCCCAGCTGCTGCAAGCTGCTGCTGGGCTCCTTTAAGGAGGGAATCTCTCCTCTCTCATCAGTTCAGGCTAATTAAACTCTGCTAAACCAATTAGAGCTGCAATTTGCAACTAGAGGTTCTATTGAGGAGAAGAGCCCAGGGTCAGGGCAGAGGTTTCAGACGTGGATCTGCGGGCAGGTGTTGGCCAGGGCCCTGCCTGTTGCCGTTTCCCTGTCAGACAGAGGCGATCCTGGCCCCATTCCTCCTCCCCTCACCGCACTGGGATGCCTCAGTTTCCCTCCTGCAAACACCACAGTGGGGAGAGGGGGCTCCACAGGGTTATCCATGGGGACACCTCAGCTCAGCAGGGCTCAGCAGAGGGGACAGCACGGAGCCTGGTCACATCCTGGAGCACGTGGCAAGTGGCCAGAGCCGGGTGTGAGCCCTGACCCGGGGGCGGGATTTTCTCCCGTATCCTCACAGCTCCAGCCCAGCGAATTGACTCAGGGCTTGTTTGGGGAGAGAGTGTCAGGCCGGCACCTTGATGGGCTCACTCCACCCCCAGCGCTGACACCGAGCTGCGCCCCGAGCCCCGGGGCGGCAGCGTCACCGCTCCGTGCCTCAGTT